CACCCTAACGATGCAATTCATTCATAAAAGGCGAGTGGGAATGACGATTTGTCTTACATGATGGGTGTAAGACAGGTTTTTCTACCATCGTTTTAAACCGTAGATAATCCTGTCTGATATGCAAGAAAATTCTAACACCACTGCCCTATGACAGTATCAAAGAGATAGGGCAAGCAAGTACATTGAAGTTACACGATCAGGGTTTTTTCCCAGGAATTTGGGAACATGACCCATGGAATTGGGAATTTCAGCGATGTTTTGTTAAAATTTGGGAAACAAGAGCTGTCACAGGAGACAGCCAAGCTCGACTAATAAAATACTGGACGCAGTAAGGAGGACAAAACTATGAAAGAAAAATCAAATATGTATTAATATGTATTAAGTGATGGTAAAAAAATAACATATGTCAACATAATTCAAAGATCAAGGGGAATAATTCTAGAAATAGTCACGCTAGAGTAGAGTTATGAACCTTGTCACACAACATGTGTATAATAAGAAATATATATATATTTGAAGTTTGAAGTAGAAGTGAAGAAGTTTTAATATTTTTTAAATCTGTAAATATTGCTTCAAGACTTATGAACATTTTCACATAAAATGAAATTGATGACAAGGAATAAGTATTTGAGAGTTGAGGCAGATACCTTTAAAACTAAAAAAAGTTATAGTAAAAAATAACATCTTTCTGGTAAAAAAATATAAGTTTATGGGGAGATAATTCTTGTAATATTGGTGCTAGAGTTATGAACCTTGTCACATAAGATGTGGATGATGATAAGGTACATATATTTGAAGTATGAAGTTGATCCCTTTAGAAATAAATAAGTTACAGTAAAAAATAATATTTTTTAAGGAAAATTCTAAGTTCAAGGGGAGATAAATCTGAAAATATTGGTGCTAGAGTTATGAACCTTGTCACATAAGATGTGGTTGATGATAAGGAACATATATTTGAAGTTTGAAGTTCATACCTTAAGAAATGACAAAGTTATAGTGAAAAATATTAATTTTTACTGCACCAAAACTTTAATCTGAAATCTGGACGCGGACGCCGACGCCGGGGCGAGTAGGACAGCTCTCCATATACTTCGTATAGTCGAGCTAAAAATGCATGACTTTAATTTTGCAGTGATTAAATGAATGCAAAGAATCACTGTCTAGGATGGCATCTTCAAACATTTAAAACACCATTACAGTGATGAAGCCCTTACTTTCAAAGATTTTAGAATTTGTTGTCCAATATTTTTATTTTGTAACTTGCAATTGGGAAGTTTTTTCCTGTGAATTGGGAAAATACTATTCTATTTTCAATTGGGAATATGACCGAAAATCGGCTATAAAATAAGCCAAAAAAATCCCTGGACGATATATGCACACCATAAAAAAGAATGCTAACACCTCAGCCCGCATAGCTCAATCGCGAGACTTGTAATCTCGACATTGTGGGTTCGATTCCCGGACTGGCCGACTAAAATTACTAATCAGTCCTTTGGATGAGACTTTAAATCGAGGTCCCGTGTATGGGTGCTTAAACACTTGGCACGCTAAAGAACCAGGAGAAGCTTCTGGAATTGGGGCATCTTTCTGTATCTGTAATTGCACTATCCTCCAAAAATCTAACATGACTAATACTCTTTTGGAGGACTCGCCCATATGGGCAACTGGTGGCGAGTATAAATAAACGCAAATACACACACATATGACTTCATAATGTATCATATCTATAAACAAAATGATGTCAAGAAAATTACTCCTATGTTCAATGTAGTTCAACATTTTTTATCAATTCTCGTTTTTATTAGCATATTTAAGAATGAAAATAGATATAAAAGATTTTTCATTTAATGTACACACTGGTTCCCCTAAGGCATTTATATGGTTTCAATGCAGGTGGTTTTAAAAACTATATATAATTTTGAATATGAGCCGTGTCACGACAAAACCAACATAATGGGTTTGCGACCAGCATGGATCCAGACCAGCCTGCGCATCCGCGCAGTCTGATCAGGATCAATGCTGTTCGCTATCAGTTTCTCTACTTGTTATAGGGTCTGTAAGCGAACAGCATGGATCCTGATCAGACTGCGCAGATCAGACTGGTCGCAAACCCATTATGTTGGTTTCGTCATGACGCGGCTCATATATTGAATAAGTTTACGAGATGTAGGCCACAAATTAAATGCAAACCTTTTTTATTTTTATTTTAAATTACATGTTGTTTTTTTTTTTCAATGGGGGTAGCAAGCAGGGGACTGGGGGTGGGAGTAATCACTTGGGAGGTTGATGGGTGGTTGGTTTGAAAAAATAAAATTAAGTAGGGTAATATGCAAAAACATTTTAATTTTCATTTTATCATTTTAATTTATTAATTTCATTGACTAATCTATTTTTATTTTGACATGTGTGCATTCATGTGTATGAAGGAAAAAAGGAAGGAAGGAAGGAAGGAAGGAAGGAAGGAAGGAAGGAAGGAATGTTGTTTTTTAAAAGATCAGGATTTAAGAAATTTAACTTATTTGTCTCACTTTACTTCTTCACTTTTTTAAAAGTAACTTCCTTTCTTTCTTGGTTGCACTGACGTTCCTTCAGACATTATAAGTTTTACCCTTAACCTGTTCAGGGATAATGGGTTCTAGCCAATTAATCGGGTCACGACCATGTTTCTTCACATGGCACCAGTACTGGTTGGTTCCAGGAAGCGGACTCGAAAGTGATCAATATAAGTTGCAGGAACTTGTATCCTAGACATAATCAAGCTTAAATAAATATGTTTAAAACCAACTTATATATTTGTATTATGGATAGTCCTAGGTTTGAAATAGGAATAATAATATTTCTACTTAAAGGAACTCCACTGAGGTCTAATAGCCTAAAATAATAAATTTTTAAATTCTTTCTTAAAATACTTAAATCAACTGGTACACTTAAATGAAACCAAGCAATAGATGATATATAAATATTCACGGAATTAAATAGATAATCGATTTATATTTGATTTTTGGCTGATTTGAATGAAAAGCATTGCAATGGTTTTCATTTTTTGGGCCAATTTGACCAATAAAATTGAATATCTCTGTGAAACGAAGTGAGCGAATGATCTGAAATTTTGTACACGAGTTATTGGTCTTGACATACATCTAGTTATAAAAAAATCTTGAGAAAAAAAATTTCGGTCCCTTCACGTCGAAAAAACCTCAGTGGAGTCACTTTAATGCTAAAGGCTTCCAACGTTGAGCTTATGGTTATACAGAGCCCAATCAGAATGTCCTAGTGGCAGGTAAGGCCCCCACGGCTACACGGTTAAACAGATCCGTTTCGATCTCATTCGTAAAGGTTTACGAAAATTTTTACCGTTTACTCAAAATGACCATATTGTCTTATGAAAAAATATTTAATCATTGCCTGTCATCATGGATGTTAATTATCAGTTCATACTGGTTTAATCCAAAGTAAAAAACGGAAAATAGGTGGTTACAATCCTCCACACAGCATCATCGTGTAATAATCGCATGTGATATAATCCATTCTTGGTAAAATTGATTTACCTTTGATGCTCAAAAGATCAAAATGGGGATACAATGCAGAGAATGTGTGCTGCCTCAATCGTGATGAGCCCTGAACATTATTTATTTGTACATGCAGGGCCGGCAAATCTGATTTTGACTTACTTGTCCATTTTTATGTGAAGCATTTTTAACTTGTCTGTATGATATTTACATTTATTTATTTATTTATTCTTGACAATGTTCACTTGTCCGTACAGGCTGTGCGACAACCTGGGGAATACTGACAATTGATAGGACACGTTTTCTGTTCATTTCGTACTCATTAACATTCATAACATAAATAAACATTGGTAAATAAAAATTTTCAGCAAAGTTTTCCCTTCCATTTTGAATAAAAATGGTTTAAATTTCTTAGTTAATTGATGATCACTCTTAATTTTTAAGAGAATCAGAGATTTCACGGAGATTTTTTTAAAATCAAGCCGTTTTTAAGCACTTTTTCAAGGACGATTCCTTAATTCAAGCACTTTCCAAGACAGAGATCGTTTTCAAGTACTTTTTAAGACCTGTGCAAACCCTGCATTATGATTATCTAGATTAAAGTCATATATATCTGTCCAGACATATGGTACTGTACTGAGGTCAATTCAGGAAGAACCTAACTTTACTGTGTATAATTTCCATACATGTATCTACCTTTAAAATTGTGAAATATCTGAATGATAAATTGTTCAAAACATGTCCGGTTGATGGTCCCTGACCAGTATTGAGATGTACTGTACTTTTCTGTATTTTTTATCTTGACCAAGAATCAAAATATCTAAGAATTTAGCTTTGGCCATGCAGTGTATGAAATTTGGATTTGAATCCACTAGGCTGGTCGGACTACCAGATTGGTATATTAACTATCCCAAAAGACATTTCACTATCATGATTCATTTGTTCAAAACAGTTGTTGATATTGCCTCTGAAAATATGGTAGCCTGGTCGGGCTTGTTACTGTGAAAAGTTGGTGGTCCGTAGAGAAATTTAGTAGTCAGGGGCTATCGGAATACTGCTAATTTAGAACACTGTTTGGCATGCCATGCCACTTTGTCTATCTATTTTCTATCGAGTCAAACCCTTGCTTGGGATCTTTTTCTTGTATTTTTGTAAATGTTAACTCTGCTAGATCTGTAATTAACTTAAGCAGAATGTAAATAAAAAATCTAAGTCATTAAACAGTTAAATTTACCAAAAAGTACAGAATTTCTTTCTGTACTCTTGACCGTGACATACTTTAAAGTTTACGGTAAGACAGGAAATAATTTAAGTATGCATTATCTGTAAGTGACAGATAAAACGACAACAACAAAAAAACACTTATAATTTGACAGTTGACGAACTGCCAAACAGACCATATCAAAACGAAAAGACAGTCGTGTTGTTTCTAAGGATAATTATCGAAAAAGGCGACATAATGGCCTCTCATAATGTTAATTTATAACCAACCATTTCTCCAACTTGTTGATTGGAAGGCTGTACGTTTGCCATCGGCTCCCAAAGCTATGAAAACTTGAAAGAATATCCAATTAATCTATCTAAAACGTCCTACGTTGCTTTGGTCAGCCATTACAGGAAATACACACTTGTGGGCGGAGTTAACCTGACGTCAGATGAATCAAAGCATCCACTGGTCGATTTTAGTCATGTGACATTTTACTGCATGCAGCTATGATACGATCAAAACATGTTTATATTTTCGCTTTCGAATTAACCCTCGGGCAAAGTCTAAATAACATATTTTTTGTTGTTATTGTTTTGTATTTTCAAGCAGGGGTCTTTCCGACTGCAGAGAATGTCTTACTCAAATCACGGATAATAAATCCGTGCTGAAATATATATGACTTTTAAAACTACTGTACATGGATCCATAATTGACAATTAGAGACCGTGTCAAAACAAATTACGATATCATACTATTTATGTCTCTGGTTAAATGTTAATTGAAATGTTATATGGAGGGGTGGGGGGGGGGGGTAAAAATGTATAAACAGTGGCGGGTTCATGCCAGGGCTTCAGCAAGTTTTACCAGAGACATAGATAACAGAGATAACAAGAAAAGCATTGATGCTCAGAGACATAGATAACAGAGATAACAAGAAAAGCATTGATGCAAAGCATCAAAGGGCGTCCAAACAGCAGGTGCAGATGAACTAGTAGATATATGATGACAAGATATTCTTATAAACTTTTCAATGGTTCATTGGGTTTTACCAGAATTGTATATCACTTTTGAATGAACGGACGAAAGACATTGTTCATTATTTATAACTTTGATCGGCATGCTAGAAATTAGAACATTACTTGTTATTTCTTTATGATCGTGGTTATTAATAGCAACGGATATACATGTATACAATCATTTATAATCCATATGTGTAACGCATGATCAACACCATACTTGTGTAATTGTCCCTTATTATGTTATTGCTATTAACGAGGACCCCTCTTAAGGTATCTGTTCACACTAAGTAACAATATGACACTTGTTATATTACCATGTTGATCATGTTGAGCATAATTGTTTATTATACAATAAATGTAATTTCTATTTTAATAAAAAAATACAGATTTTATGAATATTGTTTTCTTTTCTTTTTTTTTGTGTGTGTGTTTTATGCGCTATTTTAATACTGAGTTTTTACGTTTACTACTATTTTAAGAATTCAATTGTCATAATGATCGACGATTATAAGTCAAAACTTAACTGGAAAAAGTCAGTAAATCATGGTTAATCTTTCAATTTATAATATTGTTTATTCTTAAACCATATACATGTACATTTGTATTTTTCTTTATCATTTTTTAAATTATCAATCAATTGAATAATTCGTAAAATCTGATTTGTAACTTTGAATAATACCTCGGAATCTTTACTTAACACGAATAACAAATTATATAAAATGTTTTAAAGTTGATAGTGTCATATTAATGCCATAAAAATGTACATTTTTTCTCAATTATTGTACATATTTATTGTTTTTATCTCATATAGATAAAATATAACATGCGATTTGTGTTGTTGGTTTTTTTTTTTTCGAATTGTATGTTTATGTATAATAATAATCAATCAATTCGAGAGTTGATCTGTGTTTATTAATTATTGTAACCAAACTAAGTGCATGACAAACATTCATTTTGAAAAAAAGCTTATTTATCTGTAAAATATTTGTTCTGTTCTGTAACGATATCTACTCCAAAACCGGGAGAGACCGGACAATAAACGTGTGGTACTATTCGCCGGTCATTAGTAAATCCCGGGAGAGACCGGGAATTACCTAGGAGTACATCCCTCTATAAATAGATTTTCGGAATATTAAGGTCATCAACTCATCATTCTATTAACAGCTTTCGGAATAACATACCATAATAACCCACTGTGTACTACAAAATGATAAGCAAAAATACCCCGAAGAGCGCGATTTATTGACGGAAAAGGTTATTTCATTTGAAAATGTTTGCATTGCGAAATTCTCCAGTTCGCCATTCATTGTACATATCGCGACTAATTAACAATCAAGCACCCTCATACCGATCGGAATGATCGGCTTTTATTATTGGCAACTATAAAAGGCTCGAGAAGTTGCTGTCGCCCTTTCACAAAATCTCATTTCATTCCAATAGGCGCGGCAATTAAGCAGCTACTATTATATATACTCCATTGAAACATCACTCATGCCTATCAAAAAGTAAAAAAATAGGCATTTTGTAGCAAATAAAACTTAATGGATGTACATTTGATCCTTTATTATTATATACCAATTGAAAGGTAAATCACTATCTATTGCTGCATGTTATAATATTGGTAACTTTCCATACCTTTCACTTAGAAAAACATAGCAGAACATACCCACTGAGCCAGTTTTTTTTCATATGAATAGTTTTGTAACAAGAATTATTAAGTAGTTCTCTTTAAAAATTGATGTATCATTTATTTAAATGGGAACTGTAAATATTTTTACCTGCAGCCATAGACAAATGCATAAGCTTTCAGAAAATGTATTATAGTTAATCTAGTTAATAAGTTTTACTAGGTACGTATATTAAAGTTAATATACGTGCTACAAGTTTTAAGTTTAGCAGGCACGCGCGTGATATTTTAACTGGCTAGGAAGTTGCCTATCTCTGTTATCTATGTTTTACTACGTTTTTTATTAAGATGAAATGATTGGTCATTTAATTGCTTTAAAAACTTTTTATGGCAGTTATATTTTTCTTAAATGAAATTCAAATTGTACTGACCTCTTTAGTATCTTGAATCATGGAGTTTAAGTAATAGAAAGAGCACCGAAACACGAGGCTATCTGATTTGTACGAGGGGGCGTAGCCCCCGAGTATAAATCAGATTGCCGAGTGTTTTGGTGTTCGTTCTCTTTTGTATCATAGTCAAACATGACAGCACGTTCCCTGTTGTCATAATATGAAACCCCAGAAAAAATTAACAAATGAACGAGCATTTGAATATGATATTTCTGCCCCTTTCCCTTTCTCTACCGTCACAATAAGTAAACCCCCAGCAAAAGTGAACCAATTAATCAATGGGCATTATCTGGAGTGCGGGTAACTGATACCTGCACTCCAGTTATATAGGTATATGTATACGATTTAACTCTGACACTTTTCAACAGAAAGGTCCCCAAACTATGATACAATTAGTATTGTATGTATAGATCTGTGCTTGAATGGATTCATTGATGGATAAAATTCTTATTGAATATTAGTGTTTGAAATTTTTTTTGTACAATAGAAAGGCAGTATTTTAATATCACTTTACTTTGGAACATCATGCACCTATTATTCTGATGAGTAAATTGATCAACACTCGCGCATACATTTGGTAAGTGTGCTGTTATTTTGTAAATGCTTAAAGATCCTGTATGTTTTGTAATAACACCAGAATCGACGTTTTCAATGTTAAATTAGGTCCAAAGAGAAGTTTTCTCCAGTTTTCCAGCTACCCCTAGTGACTGCGTCGCACGGTATTTCCATCAAATTGTCCACCAACAGGCAATATTTTTACATGTGCATACTCGGAAAACACATCGCTAGCTAACTGCATTTCGATATTTTTACATAAATGTCTGTAATCTTCAAAACTTATGAAAAACTCACCTTGTTTATCGTGTCACACGTCAAAGATGGGTGCTCACAACGAGGAACGGAAGTTGCTCACAACATTTTTACCGATGGACATTTTTCACTCGTTGTGAGTTAAACGGGCGTTTACCTGCCCTATTTTTTAAAACCATGTCACAGACTCACTGGAAACAAACATTTTTTGTTAGGCATAAACTATAACGAACGCATGTACGTAAAGTTAAAAATAAAACAGAAGTTAAATTTTCTATGTAACGGTCGATATTTACATTTCTTAGCATCTATTCCGATAAACATCTTCAGTTTTAGTTAAATCAAAACATGTCATGATTATAAAATTAAGGTCAAATACTATGCGTCACACAATTTGAAAATTGTAAATTTATACATATGGTCAAAGGCAATTACTCTTTCAAATCTGAAATAATCCACACGCAAAACCCAAGGTGCACAGCTTCACATGTAGATCAACATTATGTAAAGTTTGTTGATTCTAGCACAAACACACATTACACAACATTTTGAAACTCTTTGTTTTTGTGGCCAAGGGCACTTACTCTGTAAATTCTGATTAAATACAAGAAACCTTCAGGCGCACAACTACAAATGGTAACTAACATTTCTGTAAAATTTCATGACTTTACTAAGTCAAGGGCAAAAACTCTGACAAAACTGTTTTAGTCCACATGCAAAATCCCCAGGTGCATCACTTCAAATGATAATCATAAAGTTTTATGACTATTTATAGATCAAATACTTTTCGAGCTGTGCGTGGCACAAATTGAAAAATGCCGATTTTTTACTTAATCAAGGGCAATTACTCTGACGAAACTAAATTTGCGCATGACACATCGTCTGATTATTGTGAACAATTATGGCAAGTACATGTATTTACAAAATCCATTCATAGATAAGAAAGTTATGGACCGGACACGACATATACCCTCAAATAGACAATGTTGACCTTGAATGAGCAAGTGCGACCTTGACCCTGGAGGTAGGGGTCTGGTTGTTGCGCATGACACATCGTCTTATTATAATAAACATTTGTGCCAAGTTATGCCAAATTCCTTTGATAAATGAGAAAGTTATGGACCGGACACAAAAGTGTGACGGACGGACGGATGTTCTTACCAGAGCTACATTATGGGGTTTTCTTTTGTTATTTCTTTTGTTCTTTTTAACCCCACAATGCAGAAAATAACCCCACAAGAGAAACGGAATGAATGACATCAAAGACATCTATTGTTATGAGAACAATAGACCAAACCCCATAATGTAGCTCTGGTTTGTACGGACAGACAGACGGATGGACAGACAGATGGGAAGCCTATTTCTATATCCCCCTTTTTTCTTCGAAAAGGCGGGGGACAATAAGAAATATTGAAAAGCTGGTTTAGAATAGTAAAAAGGAAAAGGCGAATTTTTAAAGCAAATAAAATAAGAAATATTGAAAAGCTGTATCATTCTAAACGTCGTAACTTGTGGCTTATTTTTTTCGA